TATGACAAGGCTAACATCCTTTTGGAGGGATCTCTTTCAATTTTAACTCCAAGTATATAAGCTGCCTCACCCATATCTTTCATTTGAAAGTTTGAGGATAACCATTCCTTAATGGTTAACACATATTCGTTATCATTTCCACTCAACAGTATGTCATCCACATATAGTGAAAGAATCACAAACTTATCTTTGTTTGTTTTGACATACACACAGTGGTCCTCATCGATCAGATGAAAATCATATGAGATGATTACTTGGTGAAATCTGATGTACCACTGTCTTGAAGATTGTTTAAGGTCGTAGATTGACCTAATTAATTTACATACTTTATCTTCTTGTCCTTCGGTAACAAAACCGATGGGCTGCTGCATGTAAATTTCGTATTCTAATTCACCATTTAGAAATGATGTTTTTACATCCATTTGATGTAATTCCAAATCTAAACCGACTACTATGGCTAGAATGAGTCTGATACAGGCGAGAAAGTCTCATCATAGTTTATTTCTTCCTGTTGTGTGAATCTTTTTGCTACAAGTCTGGCTTTATATCAATCAATAGAGTCGTCAGCTTTGCGCTTAATCTTAAGAATCTATTTGTTAACAATTGTTTTGCGTTCTTTTGGGAGATCGACTAACTCCCAAACATTATTAACTTTCATTGACTTCATTTCTTCTTCCATTGCTTTCATTCATTTCTCTCTATTGGGACATCAAAGAGCTTCCTGAACACTTCTCGGCTCTTCATCATCATCAGGTGTAATCATATAAATTTCATCGTCAAAACGACGTTTCGGTATTCTACCACGATTACTACATCTTATTTGTGGTCCTGTTGATTCTTCACGTGTTGATTCCATTGAATCACGTGACAACTGATCAATTGAGTCACGAGTGGTTTGTGGTTCGTTTAAATCACACATAGTGTTCAGATATTTCCCACTTGGATGAGATACTGTTGGTACAGTACTGAGACTATCCCATGATGGATTTGATAAAAGAAAATCATTCTGATTATAATTTTCAAATAGGGATATCTCATCACTGATCTCACCATTTCTTGGAAAATCATTCTCCAAGAAAGTAGCATCTCGTGATTCAAATTCAGTTACACTTCCACTTTCTTGTTCACCAATGAACATATACCCTTTTGAGTGTTCCGAGTATCTTATAAATATACTCTTTTTACCTCTTGGACCTAATTTCCCATGTGGATGTGATGACTCATGTACATAAGCAGCACAACCCAATGGCCTTAGACCACTAAGGTCAGGTTTTCTACTAGTCCATAACTCATAGGGTGTGGAAGCAACAGATTTGGAAGGCACATGATTAAGGATATAAGTAGCGGTCAATAGAGCATCACCCCAAAAGTGATTGGCAATTTCGCTTGAGCCATCATTAACCTAACCATTTCAAGAAGAGTTCTATTTCTTCTTTCAGCTACTCCATTCTATTGCGGTGTGCGAAGAGTAGTTAGCTGCCTTATTATACCCTTTTTGTCACATAGTTGTCTAAACTGATGAGACAGATATTCACGCCCTCGGTCAGTTCGTAAGGCCTTAACCTTTTTATCTAATTGATTTTCCACGAAGTTTACAAATTTTCTAAAACATTTTAATGCTTTAGACTTGTGGGAAATCAAATAAACATGACCATAACGTGTGAAATCATCTACGAAAGTGATAAAATATTCACTTCCATGCCTAGTCATTATACTTATGGGTCCATAAATATCAGAATGAATTAATTGCAATGGAATTTCAGCCTAGTTCCCTTACCAAATAGTTTTCTTGTCATTTTTCCGCTAGACTACTTTCACATAAGGTAATTCTATTTTGTCAAATTGACCTAATAAACCTTCCTTAGCCAATCTAGCCATTTTATGTTGACCTATGTGACCTAATGTAGCATGCCACATAGTCATGTCAATTTTAGCATCAATAGATGACGTTATAAGGGAAAAACTTGCATAATTGTAAGATATCATTTCAACAACATCCAGTACAATAAAACCATTAAAAAAAAACCATAACCATAATGTATGTTGTTCAAAGACAGAGTTAATAAGTCTTTAGCCAAAGTAAAAGTGTAACCAAGTTTGAGAAGGACAGTAACAGAAAGCAAATTTCGCCGAATATCAAGTGCATACAACATATCATGCAGAAGTAGAGTGCGTCTATTCCGCATGTGCAACTTCTAGGAATCAATGCCCTTTACAGGCACACGAGCATTGTTTCCTACATACAGCCACCTAGCTCCTAATGGAATTCGACGAAATTCCACGTACACCCCACGATCTTTAGCTACGTGGTTGGTTACACCCTAAGGTGTTAGCACATTGATAAGTTGTTTGAATGTTAATACTCGTGTCAAAAGTTCAAGTCTCAATGTACCCTAAATTAGAAGTAAAAGAACAAATCTTAAACATTTTTCAAGTTTGTACCTTCTTAGATTCAGTACAATCACGAGCATAATGACCCTTTTGGTGACAATTGTAGTAGTTGATATTTGCATTCTTGTTTTTAGGATGAACCATGGGACGCTTCCCCTTACCCTTGTCATTCTGACCTTGCTTGGGTTTCTTATTCTTGTGGTCTCTTGTCCCTTTAAAACCTCCCTAATTTTTACGTTTGTGCCCTTTGTTCCTATGTGAACTAGGGCCAGCCACATAGGCTTCAGCATTGTAAGGTCCTGTTGTCTCTATACGGTCTTCTTCCAATTCAAGATGATGTGAAACATCAGTAAGAGTTAAAATTCCCTCATTATGGGTAAGAAGGACCTTCATGTGTTCCCAATTTTCGGGAAGAGATCGAATAGCAGCTTGAACTTGTTATTCATTAGTCAAGACATGACCAGCTTCTTTTAGCTCACTAATCATATTAGACATCTCTCCCATGTGTTATCTCATATTATGATTAGGGCATTTTTTATAAGTATCAAACTTAATAGTAAGTTGCCTAACTTTGGTGACAGAGGTCCCACCAAATTTCAACTTTAACGCATCCCACATGTCCGGTCATAAGAGCGAAACTCACGCATGACATCGTTGTCCATGCTGCTCAGCAAAGTTATGCGAGCAAGTGAGTTTTTCTTTTTCCAGACTTTATAAGCCTCTTTGTCCCTCCTATGTTGAGCACTATTGCCTTCTTCCGGCTCAGTCAACACATTGTTTTACACTTCTAGAGCCTCTTGCTCTTCCAGTACATATTGGATTTTCATGGCCCAAATCTCGTAATTATCCCTATTAAGCTTCTCCCCTTTGTTCAATTCAGCCATTATATTTTTTGAAGCAGATGCCATATTTTCAGAGTCTACATGCCATATTAGCAAATATATCAATTCACATGCATACACACTACCCTTTAATATTTTACAAATTTCAAATAAATTTTATCATAATTATTTTGTTCAACACCGAGTCGAAATTTCACTAAGTTTCCAAATCATCGTCAATGTTTGAACCAAATAATTATAGACAAACTTATCACATTGTAAAATAAACAAAGACTTTACCAAAAAAGTGTACGATAATAATGAAACACAATCATCATTCATAGCCCATACTAGAATTAAACCCCGAAAGGGGGCACAATTTTCATTTAGTATATATGTCAGCAACTATATATATATACAAACATGTACATGAAAACATTTACGATTGCATCGAATAGGAAATGAATTTTTAAAAAATTTCATAAAGAACTGTTGGAATTTTGTGATTGCAAACAACCACTCCACGTTTTTTTCGGTTTAGACGAATCCTTTCTCCATAGACTGAGGCCTTCTGCCTTTCCAAAATAGCTCGTATACCGAGCTCATGGACAAAAGCTTTGGTCACTATCTCGTAAAGGTTATCTCCACTGTGTCAACTCCAGACATTATCTAAGAAGGTCTTAAGGCACTCGAGAGGTAAGAGTGATCTTAAGACAATCAGTCTTTGATCATCTAGTAGTAAACCTCCTTCCCAAATAATCATTTGAAGCTGATTATTAACTTGGATTATATACTGGATTAAGTATATTAAATCCAATTCGTGACCCGATTCAAAATTTATAAGGGATAAGTCTTCTATCATCTTAATCACTACAGCCCTTCTAACTTTTGTCCTAGGGACCTTTGGTTGTCTTTATCATCCTTACCATATTTTCTGTAACAAATACAGAAAAATAAATCACGAAGGTAATTATGACACACAAAAAATTAGGACAAAATCACCACGGAAACAAAATAAAAAAAGATTGTTTTTAAACAATAAAACAAAATTACATATATCAATTAGGTGATTTGCAAAGGTGATAGGGGGCATACTTTTCAAGTTAGAAGTTAAGGGTTCAAACCTCGTAAAGATTATATTCCAAAGATCAAATTCCTTTATAATTCTATTTATGTGGAACAAATCCATACCAGAGGTCAAGGGCTCTACTCAGGTGGGGGACAAACATATCATTTTTTTTATATTTTATAATTTGTGATTGAGATCTTATCAATTAATGGAGAGATCTTGTCAATTAATGGAGAGATCTTGTCAATTATGACACCCCTATTTAGAATTGGAAAGTAAATAATTGCCTTTAAAATTGTCTTATCATCCATCATGACAGGTAAGGAAAGATTAGTCAATAATTTCCCAAATCATGTTGGCAAATTTCAATACAATAAAGACTGATAGCCTCAACAAATTCCAAAATGGTGTTCAAGCCGATCGTCGCTGCACCTCCG